GTTTTTAGGGGGTTGAAGGTTTTGGAGCCTTTTTTTTGGTTTTTCAGGGGGTTTTTTTTGTTGTTTTGGGAGGGTTGGGAAGGGTTGGGGCGGATTTTGGGAGGGGGTTTATCCATTTTGGGTTTGTCTTTGGTACAGACAAGCCCTTCATGATCATCACGGAGTACATGGAGAACGGCGCTCTGGATAAGTTCCTGAGGGTAGGTGAAGTGTGGTAGCAATGTCCCCACTCCCTGGGCAGGTTCAGGGGGTTTTTTTTGTTGTTTTGGGAGGGTTGGGAAGGGTTGGGGCGGATTTTGGGAGGGGGTTTATCCATTTTGGGTTTGTCTTTGGTACAGACAAGCCCTTCATGATCATCACGGAGTACATGGAGAACGGCGCTCTGGATAAGTTCCTGAGGGTAGGTGAAGTGTGGTAGCAATGTCCCCACTCCCTGGGCAGGGATTACCGGGTGGTGGAACCACCAAAACCCACCCCGGAAGGTGGGCTGAGAGATGGATTTGGGGCTGGATTCTCCCCTTTTCCCAGGAAAAAGAGGGAGAATTTGGTGTCATCCAGCTGGTGGGGATGTTGAGGGGCATCGCCGCCGGCATGAAGTACTTGGCCAACATGAATTACGTCCACCGGGATCTGGCTGCCCGGAACATCTTGGTGAACAGCAACCTGGTGTGCAAAGTGTCCGATTTTGGGCTTTCGAGGGTGTTGGAAGATGACCCTGAAGCCACCTACACCACCAGCGTAAGTGCTGCCGGGGTGGGGTGGTTGGCTATGGTGGTGGGGGTTGGGATTTGGGGCGCAGGGTTGAGCCCGATGTTGTCGCAGGGTGGGAAGATCCCCATCCGTTGGACGGCACCTGAAGCCATCTCCTACCGGAAGTTCACCTCCGCCAGCGACGTCTGGAGCTACGGCATTGTCATGTGGGAGGTGATGTCCTATGGTGAGCGACCATACTGGGAGCTATCAAACCATGAGGTGAGCTCCTGCCCTCCTCCGACACCAATTTTTGGGGGGCCCTCTTGCCAACAGACAGCTTTTGGGGGGGAGCACCCCTCAACCTCCTCCTCCTCGTAGGTGATGAAGGCCATCAACGAGGGCTTCCGCCTCCCTGCCCCGCTGGATTGTCCCTCTGCCATCTACCAGCTGATGATGCAATGCTGGCAGCAAGAGCGCAGCCGGCGCCCCAAGTTCGCCGATATCGTCAGCATCCTCGACAAGCTCATCCGCGCCCCCGAGTCCCTCAAGGCGCTGGCGGACTTTGACCCCCGGTGAGCTACGGAGGGCGCTGGGACGGGGCAAGGAGCGGGGAGAGGGGGCAGGGGAGGAAGGCGGGGGGCATTTGCAGCATCACGCTCTTGCGCGCCTTTGCGTCCTGGCATCGCCTTTGCATTTTTTTGCATCGTTGCTTTTTGCATCGCTGCAGCTGCGCATTGCTTTCTGCGCCCCCGCATCCCTGCGCTCCTTTCCGTGTCCTCGCATTTTTGCATTCTCACGTTGCTTCGCCCCTCTCCGCGTTCCTGCACTTTTTTTTTTTTCTTTTTGAGCACCTTTGCACTCTTGCAGCGCCTTTTGTGTTGGGCGCATCTCTGCATCTGTGCTTTTTTCAAACCGATTTCGCCATTTTTTATCTCCTTGCCTTCTTTTTCTACCCCTTTGCACTTTTTAATTGGTTTTGCAGGTTTGCATCCTTGCGTTCTTTGCTGCTTTGCACCCGCGCATTTGAGCTTTTGCCTTTCCCTTTGCCATTTTCACATTGTTTCTTGCCTTATTTTTTGTGTTTCCACTTTTTGCATTAATCTTTGCATCTCCACGTCTCTGCGTTCTTTTTCACACCCGGGCACTTGTGCATCGCCTCTCACTTTGGGGTTGTTTTTTGCAGTATCTGCATTGTATTTTGGCTTTCCTGTGCTCTGCCGGCTTTTGCCATTCCTTTTGGCGTCGGGGCGTCAGTTCGTGCATCTCTGCACCCTGGCGTTTTGCCGTTGCTTTTTGTGTGTTGGTTTGTTTCCTCTTTCAATCTTTTTGTGGTTTTCCTTCCATTTCCCTAGCGGTTTTTTTTTTTTTTTTTTTTACTTC